TTTCTCTTGGCTGCCATATTTCTTTGACTGACTAAACAAAGATTAAGCATTTTCTAGCTAATGTGGTTTCTCTTCTGTTTAGACTTCCCCATTGTGCTATTTTCCATTTGTTAAATTTCTCTTGGAAATGACAATAAAATCAACATCTTTACTTTTACGTAGTCCTCTGTCCCTTCCCCTCTTTTTCCCTTCAGAATCAGTACCTTATTTAAACAGGTCAGGTTGGAACTATTCTAATTATCTGCAGAAACTTTTTATCTTTATCATTTGTCATAATTTGTCATTATTATAGAACCAACCTTAAAGTCAGTTCTAACCAGATAGTGGTCTGACTGCATACGAACAGCTAATTCTGAGATGACTGCTATGTCTGTAAACTGTTGCTTCTTGCCTATTAATGTGTCAATTTCCTTTCTAGTATATTTTGTACTTTCCAATTATATTCTTTTTATTTAAAAAAATAAGTACTCACAATTAATGGATATGAAGCTTTTGAGCAGTCTACAGGCCCTTAGCCTCTTTAGTAATTTTATACTGAACCATATATTTCCTGTTCCCATTTTTTACTTGAAGTTACTAAATATTGAAGTATATATTAAGCTAGTTTGGAAGATATTGTCCAGTTTGTCATAGAACTTCTCTACTTTATCCTCTGCAATGCATATTTGTGTAAGATATAATTGTCTTTACTGTGATTGATTTGTTTCTATGTGGAAACATAACTCTTATCAGGTGACTAGAACTTTGTCTCCAGGGCACTAGACAGCATTCTTGTTTCCCTGCATTGGCCCTCTTGTTCACTGTCCTTGGCATTACCAGCTCTGCTCCCTTGCCTGGTCTAAGGTCACTAGACCTTATGGTCCTATTGTTATAGGGCCTGGTCCCTGCCTGCTGCTGTCTTCTGTGGATTAAAAGGGTCAAGGGGACTATGTCAAGGAGGTTTGGGTCAGGTTTTCTATAGGGCAGGCTGCCCCTTCTTTTGATACAATTGCACTTGATTAGGTGGAACTCTTCTCCCCCCCCCCAACAAATGGATTTTCCTTAGATACTGGAATTCCCATTTATGGCTTTCTTATCTACATCGTAAGCTTAAGAAGACAAAACTACAAATTTCAACTAAACACTGTTTTTTGGTGCCTTTGAGGCTATGAGGAAACTGGTTCTGTCTATTCTTTATTTGTATCTCCAAGGAGAACATGCAGGCCAAATTTCTTTATAGCCATAATTTTTTTCTGTTTTTGTTGATAATAAGAATGTCAATATAGCTATAATGCAATTCCTCTGGTAGTAGATCAACTCCTTCATTGGGCAAAGACTAAAATAAAAAGTACTAACAGCTGAATTAGTGTTTGTAGTAGATTTAAAAACTGAGATTTTTAGTATCCTCAGCTTAATTTCTTCTTGGTCAGCCATAATCACTGAAGATGTAGAAGGGGTTGTAAAGGACTAAAGGTTCTTTTATATTTTTTCCTATTTTATGAGTTGCTTTGGCCAGCCTTCTAGTGATGAGTTCGTAACTTAGCTCAGCATGTCCATCCTCAGACAAGTCTTCAGGGTCTCAAAATCATCTTTGCATGAAGAGTAGGACTTTAGTGAAAATGTTTTATGTCGACTCTGCAAATTCTGATACTTGTTATGTTGTTATTGCTGTTTGGTCATTTTTCAGTCATGACTCTTCATGACCCCATTTGGGGTTTTCTTGACAAAGATACTGGAGTGGTCTGCCATTTCCTTCTCCAGCTCATTTTACAGATGAGGAAACCAAGGCAAACAGGGTAGAACTCTTCTCCCCACCCCAACAAATAGATTTTCCTTAGATACTGGAATTCCCATTTATGGCTTTCTTATCTACATCATAAGCATAAGAAGACAAAACTACAAATTTCAGCTAAAACAGGGTTAAGTGATTTGTCCAGGGTCAAACAACTCATAAGTGTCTGAGGCCAGATTTGAACTCAGGAAGATGTATCTTTTTGATTCCAGGCCTGGCCCTCTATTCACTGTGGCAGGGATCACAGAGACTCAGACACAACTGAAATGCCTGGACAGATGTTATATTGTCACCTAAATTAGGGAGCAGAGGATTGGCTATGAGTAATTAAGACAATGAGATAGTACAGTTTTTCAGATATGGATCATCCATTTAGCCAGTTTTCTAATGTACTTTTTTATAGGTAGTGACTGAAATACCAACAGTCTGTGATCAAAGCTTCATTTAGGTGGGATTTTGTTAAAAATGGCAACTACTGAACAATATTTTTTTTTCTGAGCCTCCTTTTACTTTGAAATTACAGAGTATCAAAAGATTTATTGCTTTAATTTGGGAAATCTTGTCAAGATGTGACTGCCTGCAGGTTATTGCACAAATGCAAAGGACTCTGGAAGGCTTTGGCCCCATGGACAAGATTTTAGGCAAGCTGGATGAGAGCTTCTGTGGTCAGTACAGTACAATAAAAGGGCACTGATGTTAAAAATCAGAAGAACTAGTTTTGAATCTCAGCTCTGCTACTTATTGCTTGTATGACCCTGGGCAGATTATTCTTTCTCCATTGGTCTCAGTTTCCTTATCTGTAAAATTCTAGAGTGACCTCTAGGTGACCTCTGAGACCCCTTTTAGCTCTTAAGCTCTTCCTTAAATAGTTTCTTGCATTAGATTCAAAAGGTTGCATAGCCTGAGCTGTATGGGACATTTGGACCAGAAACTGAACCAAAGGCCTCCTATATTCCTGTACCTAATGATAAAATTTCAGTGATGCTAGATGTAAAGAATTTCCTAATAATTAGAGCTGCTTAAAAAAATAGCTGCCTTATGAGGAGTTGAGCTCACTATCATTGGAGATGTACACAGTTTGGATGGACACTTCTCAGGGATTTTGTAGAGGGTATTTATTCATTCATTAGAGGCAATGTAGCATACTAGATACACTCAGTTTTGAAGTCAGGAAAACCTGGTTAAATCCTGCTTTTGATGAAAACTGGTTATGTGACCCTGGTCAAATCACTTAACTTCTCAGTTACCAGCTAACTCTCTAAGACCATAAGTTGCAGAGCAGCTACAGATCTGCATTGGTAGAGGAAGTTTCTTTACTTAGAAGTTCCTTACCCCTCTTACCTACTCCCCCATTAGTTTATTCATCCATCAAAAAGGCAGCTGTGCTAGATCAGGGGTTTTTAACTTTTTTTTATCTCGTGGATCCTTTTGGCAGTCTGGTGATGCCTATAGCCTCTTCCCCAGAATAATGTTTTTAAGTGTATAATTACATTAGAGCAAAAAAGCCTTAACAGTGGCAATGGCTGCAGCTAGCTAATGGTGGCAGGCTGTTAACTTACCTAGTCACTGAAGGCAGTTTTGGTATTGTGCAGACATGTAGGCCTTACTCTCATGTCTTTGCTTCTCCAACACAATGAGTAGGAAGAATTGAACGAACAAGAAACCACAGACGGAAATGAAACTGAAAATGAGTTGTCTGACTATAATAGAGTGATAGCTGTTTTGGGATTGCAGCTGTGATGTGAGTCATAAATTTGAGAAAATACATGTGTCCTTTGGCTATGGGTGGCTGACTTCAGCTGACCAACTGAAGGGGTACAGGTTATTTAAAACAAAAGCTAAAAGGCTTGAGAGTTGAAATGGTCCTTAAAGTTTGTGGAGGAAATGGATAAAACCTGTGTGCTATGAGTTTGGGGGAAATAGCTTCTTCCCAGAAAAAGTAAGCTTAGAGTTCAAAGAAAGGGAGCTACAAGGTTGTATAAATAGACTCGAGGTCAGTATTTGGTTCAACAAGTCTATAGTTTCTATCTTGAAGAAGGCTTCTGTTATCTTGGAGACCTCTTACCTCACCTGCATATTCTGATGAGATTGACTAGAGATTGACTTCCTGTACCCTCTGCCCCACCAAGATGGTCTGATGAGATTCATTACAGGAAAACATCCCCAAAGGAATTGCCAGATCTTTGGCAACACCAGAGACAGCAAAGATAGCAATCAATAAAATCAAAGTTAAGAATATAATCCTCATTCCAAATCACCTGATAATCTGTCCCTGTTTTTCAACCTCTTAAATAAGGAAAGTGGCTGAGCTGTCTCACAACAGGGTCCTTTTGCCTCCTATAATATTGCCTTAGCTATGTAAAATCACACACATTATCTATCATCTATCTATCTATCTATCTATCTATCTATCTATCTATCTATCTATCTATCTATCTGTCTGTCTGTCTGTCTGTCTGTCTGTCTATGTATCTATGTATCTGTGTATCTATCTATCTGTCTAGCTATTTTTGCCCATCAGCTGATACTATTTAAGCCTTTTATCTTTTATTTTTGCCTCTTGATTTATTGACCTCCAGCCAAGTGGACTGAGGTGGAAGGAATAACTCTTCAGGAGGAGTTTAGGATTTCTGGGTTGAGGAATTTCCCCAAGATTACCTAATTCATTTTACTGATGAGAAAACTGAGGCTCAGTGAAGTGATATAACTTGCCCAAGGTTACAGGTAGCAAACAGAAGAGCTAAAATTTGAATGCTGGTCCTCTGAATCTAAAGCCACAGTGTTCTTCCCACCAGGCACAAAGTTCCTTATGTTGCTCTGGCTCTCCTTTCTCTAAACATAACAACTAACTAGAGAAGAAATGCAGAGTAATACAAAGAAAGAAGACCTGCCTTAGAGTAGGGATGACCTGGATTCAAGTCTTGACTCTGACACTTACGTGGTGTGTCCGTGGGCCAGTCCCTGAACACCTTAGTGTTCTAAGCAACTAAGACCTTAAATTATAGATTAATTGACAATCTCCATGGAGGGAATTTCCATACCAAGAGTTCTCCACACAGATGAAATCACAGGCACATATAAAAGCAAACAAAAGCAAAATTACATGGATTATTAAATCAAGTAATTATTAGGTTAGTAATTATTAAACTAATTTAAAAATATTAAATTGATTAATTATTACATTAAATAATCTTTGTTCCACTAAGAGGCTAGCAAAGGACATACTGACCAATTCAGCGTACTTCTTAAATAAAACTTCAAGTTTTTCCTCAGCTGTTGGCAGTCTGTTCAGATTTTGCATCAGCAGAGTAGCTTCTTTGCCTTAGAAAGGGCAAAAAGATATGTTTTAGAAAGCAAACTGGAATAAATCAGCACTAAGCACAGGGTTCTCTATACCCTTAATGCTTTTTTCCCCCTTAATGAATGAATAAATAAGGACTAGTGAATAAGAGACCATGGCAACCCTATGTAAGTATGACCTTTTCATATTCGATTTTTTTAACTACAGTGCCTTGAAACTGGTAGGTGTTTGTTACATATCTGTTAACTGGCTTATTTAATGCATGGAATCAGGCTCACAGTTAATCCTTAGTTTCCAACTTAAAATTTAATCCTAATCTCTGGTCACCTCTGGAATTATCATTGATCTAGAAACAGAAAGGACGTCAGAGGCCATCTAGCCAACTGAAGCTGATGGAGTTTAAGTGACTTGATCAAGGTCACATAGTAATTCTCAGAGATAGAATTTAAACCCATGTTCTTTAACTCCATAGCCAGTACTCTTTTTGACTGTCCCATGTATTCTAGCATTCATCTTTTGTGGTGATCTTCATAGGAATTGGGGAAAATTCTGTGCTAGCTTCAATGGAGAGAGATTGAATTGGTCTGAATATAGGCTGCTTCCAAATATAAATTGAATACCTAAAAAAGAGAAAAGAAATCATAAGGGTATTTCATTTTTTAAAGGCAAAGTGGTGTGAGGATACAATGGATTATTTCTAGATGAGCTGTTTCCATGTTGTCTCTCCCAATAAACTGTGAGCTCCTTGAGAACAGGGACCATCTATCTGCCTTTCTTTAAATCCCCAGTGCTGTTGTTTGTTCTTCCTTCTCAAAGAGGACCTTATAACCAGGCACAAAGATCCTTATGTTGCCCTGGCTCTCCTTTTCTCAACCATAACAACTAAACAGAGAAGAAATGCAGAGTAATACATGGAAAGAAGACCTGCCTTAGAGTAGGGAAGACCTGGCATCAGGAAGTTGATGCCATGACATGTGAGTGAATTGGATTTAAGTGAGGGAGGGCTGTGCAAAGTCATCAGTCTCACTTTTTCTTCTGCAACCAGCTGGGTCTGGTGGCAAGATGTAGATCAGGACAACTGGAGATGCCCCTTGTCCTTCTTCCCTCCTCTCACCCTTCCCCCCCCCCAGTGCTAAGCAGAGTGCCTGGCACATAGAGTCCTTAATAAATGCTTGTTGACTTGACTTGATTAAAGCATACAAAAAATGAATAGAAAATTACGCAGTCAGGATCTAAGACCTCAACAGGATATAACCTATAATTAGATGAAATTTAAGAGTAAATTTAGTAAAGTATACCAATTTGGGTTAAGAAGAATCAACTCACAAAGAAAGCTCAAAGCTTTTTGCTAGCCATATATACAATAAAAGGTATTTGGAACAAAGTACTGAGGGCTACTTAGAATTTTTGTCCTTTGTTTCTCCCTATTCCTATTTGTTTTCATGGGATATTTAAAAAAAAAATCTCAGAGTTGAAAAAGGTGAAGGAAAAGCTCAAATTGAGACAGCCTTGACAATTTGTTGAAAGGGCAATCCTAAAAACATTATTCTGAATGGGTTTAGTTGGGCAATCAAAAATTAAACCAGAGTGACAAGGACTTTCTAATCCTAAATCAGACAGATGCTAGGGAAGCCAATTACTAATGTCATAGCAGGGATTCTTGGTCAGATGATGACTGAACTACAAGGCCTCTGAGGTCTATTCCAACTTTTTCATTTTTTTTTCCATATTATGGGGGATAAAAGAATGTTCCTTCTTCCTCCTCTTTTATTCTTAAGACTTCATTTTATGCCCTATTGCTTTTCAGCATTCAGCTTTTGTCTTAGATCGCCAACCCTAACACACAACATTGCTTTTGACTATCTATGGTGATTGTTACCTTATCTTTCAGGATATCTCTAGGTATCCCTTTAGGTAGGACTCAATGAAACAGAATAGGAAAACTATATATCTTTTTAAAAATCAGGTGGTAGTTGGTGGTGATATTGGTTCATTAAGAATTTTTCCCCCAAAGGAACACTCCTTAGTTGAATAGGGAGGTCCAGATAATAACCATTGGGTGTCAAGGTGTATTCCTTCTTGACTATAAAGTATGAGCTAGAAGGGAACTTAGATTTAGATTAAAACCTTTCATTTTTACAGAAGAGAAAACTAATGCACAGAGAGGTGACATGTGTCCATGGTCACAAAGCTAGTAAGTATTAAAGGTGGGACTTGAATTCAGTACCTCTGGCTCTAAACCTACCATTATTTCCACTACATCTGTGCTTCCACCTGTACCACACTGTCTCATAGGACATTCTTTCCCTAGGAAAATTTGCTTTAAAACATTAGCAGGGCTGGGGAACCTGTGGCCCTCTAGGTCCTCAAGTGAGGCCCTTTAACTGAATCCAATGGGATTCCCCACCCCTGAATTAGAGTCTTTATCATACCCTGTTTTTCCTTATCTATACCTAGCCTTTCCATTTTGCATTCCTGTAAAGATAGATAAGTCACAGAATTATAGAAAGTTACAGAGGGCAAGACCACTATCTTCTTCAACCTTCTTATTTTACAGATGAAGAAACTGAAAAATTTAGTGAACTGTTCATGTTATTTGACCCAGTGATAACCATACTAGGCCTATACCCTAAAGAGATAGGAGGCAGAAGAAAAATGCCTGTATGAGCAAATATATTTATAATAGTCCCTTCTTTTTTTTGTAGTGGCACAAAACTGGAAACTAAGGGAGTTCCCATCAATTGAAAAATTAATGAACAAACTGTGATCTACAAATTATGGAATACTGGTATCAAATCTGGCCTCAGACACTTACTAGCTATGTGATGCTGGGCAAGTCACCGAATCCTGTTTGCCTCAGTTTCCTTAACTATAAAATGAGCCGGAGAAGGAAATGGCAAGCCACTCCAATATTTTTGCCAAGATGATGCCAAATGGCATCATGAAGAGTCTGACATGGCTGAGAAATGACTGAACAACAACAAACAATAAGTGTGCTGATGACAAAAAGGACAGTTTCAGAGAAACTTGGGAAGACTCTTACAAACTACCACAGAGTGAAGTGACCGGCACCAGAAAAATAATTTATACAATAACAAAAATATGGTAAAGGCAAACAACTTTGGAAGACATAAGCACTCTGATCAATTCAGTGACCAAACATGATTCCAGAGAATTAATGATGAAACACGTTACCCATGACCTGAGAGATGTAAAGGATTGAAGACATGCAATGAGACATACATTTTTGTACATGGCCAATGCAAGAATTTGTTTTGCTTGACTACACACATTTGTTGCAAGGGTTTGTTTTTTCTGAAAGGGAGAGAAAATATGCTTATTAATTTTAAAAAATGAAACAAAATAAAATAAGGGTTTTTTTTTAAAAAAGAAAGGTCTAATGACTACTCAAACTCATGTAACTAGTTTATCTGAATTTTTCTAGACCTTCTAGTCCCATATTATAGAAGTAAAACAAAAACTTGAATTCCTTTAAAAAAAAGGTTGCTTGCATTATTCTTCAAGATGAGTTAATCCATAGAATTATAGAATGCAGAGCTAGAAGGGGCATTAGAGATCATTTAATAGTCTCTTCATTTTACAAATGAGGTACCTGAGATTCAGAGAAGTGAAGTCATTTGCCCAAGGTTACATAGAAGTAGAAACTGGTCTTTTGACCCCTTCTAATACACTATTGGCTCATCATTTATAGATCTTGTACTTAGAGTAAAATTTTTTTTTATAATGAGGATGGATTTATGTGAGCCATATACTTTGTCTTACTCTGCTCCCATTTGTAAGCAAAATGCACATTAACAAGATATCTGAAGCACTTTGTAAACCATAACGGTATTATATAAATGCAAATTATTAGTACTTGCTGCTACTGCTACAGATGCTAAAAACAACAATGATGATAATCTCATGACCATAAAAACAGAATAGTAGTAGATAGATATATGGCCTCAGAGGCAGGAAGACCTGGGTTCAACTCTTATCTGAGACACCTATTAACTGTGTGACCATTAGGCATGTTGCTTAACCTTTGTTTGCCTCATCTTCCTTAACTGCAAAATGGGAATAATATAAGCACTTAACTCCCAGGGTTGTTATGAGGATCAAATGAGATAATATTTGTAAAGTGCTTAGCACAGTACCTGGCACACTAATTTAGTACAAGCTTAATAAATACTTATTTCCTTCCTTTCTACTTGCCACATGACTCAGGGCAAGCCACTTAATTTCTTTGTGCTCTAGGCAAATCACTAAGACTATACATTGTAGAATTCCTCAGAGGAATTTCCCTCTACCATGATAGCACAGGTCTAGAATGAAAAACAAATGAACAAAAAAGTTCCTTTTTTTTTTTTTTAGCATATTGTTCTTGTTGGTCTGTTTAGTTGTGTCTGACTCTTCATGACCCCATGGACTGTCCATGAGTTTTTCTTGGCAAAGACACTGGAGTGGTTTGCCATTTACTTCTCCAACTCATTTGACAGATGAGGAAACTGAGGCAAACAGGGTTAAGTGACTTGCCCAAGGTCACACAGCTAATAAGGGTCTGAAGCTGCATTTGAACTCAGATCTTCCAGGCGAAGCACTCCATCCACTGAGCCACCTAGCTGCCTTTATGGCCATGAAGAACAGGCATTAATTAAGAAAGCAGCACAGCATAGTGGAAAGCACATAGGATTTCAGCTCAAAAGCCCTGAATTCAAATTCTTCTACCTTTTTAACCCAGGCCAAGTTAGCCTCAATTCCCTCATGTGTAAAATGAAGCAGTTGGACTAGATACCTCCTGAGATCCGTTCCTGCTCAAACCTCTAACATCATTAACGCTACTCGAACTCAATGCTTACCCAACAGCTCCATAGCAAATGTTTAACAGGCTGAAAAACAGATACCATATATTCTTCTTTCTTAAAACCTATAAACTGATCCCTCCTCCTACTATATTCCTATATATTTACTGCTACACTCCTATGTTTCACTACCATACTCCTATATTTCACCAGTCCAC